ATTTCAACAATTTTCATAAAAATCAGAATTTTATTCTAAATACTGAATAATCGTAAAAAGTCAATAAAAACGTATAAATTTAATAAATATTTTTAAATTTGGCACCTAAAACCTTAGTCCAGTCGGCGCTGCTAGGAATAAAAATCTGATGTGTCCAACACATGACTTTCCTATCTAGTTATTATAGGCTTTTTCCGGTTATTTTGTACAACCTATTGCAGCATTTCTATAAATGTTTAGAGGATAAACTAAATATATACATTATCCACATACATCTACTTCGAAACATTTTTCTATAGATATTCATTGAAAACGAAAATACTGAAAAAATTTAAATTTAGCACTTTTCCATTACGGTCCATTTTAGAAAAATCATGTATAAACAAAATTTATAGAGATCGATATCGCAAACATCTTTTATTTCAACAATTTTCATAAAAATCAGAATTTTGCACATTTTGTCAAATTTCTCGAATACGGACCATTTCAGGAAATTTTGACATAAAGCAAGAATTATAGATAATAATATTAGAAATAACTTTTAATTGAACAATTTTTTTCTCCAAACATAAATAACATAAAATATAAAAACGGGCCCCCCATAAAGTACCCCCCCCAGATGTTCCGACTTTGTCCAAAATCTAATCATTTCACGTCAGGCCGAAATAAAACTTAAGTTTAAAATTTAATGTTTTTTTCTTTATCCGTTTTTGAGTTTTCTTCAAATTTCGAAATTTACACATTTTCTCAAATATCTCGAATATGGTCTATTTTAGAGAAATTATGTATAGATTAAAAATTTTATAGAATTATATTACAAACAACTTTTGTTTGAACAATTTTTAAAAAAAAATATTTTTTTGATTTTGTCAAATTTCTCGAATACGGACCATTTTAGGAAAATTTTGTATAAAACAAAAATTATAGATAATAATATAAGAAGTAACTTTTACTTGAAGAATTTTCTTCCCCAAACGTAAATAACAGATATATTCCATAAAATATAAAAATGACCACCTATAAAGTACCCCCCCAGATGTTCCGACACTGCCCAAAAACTAATCAGCACATTGGATGCTGGAACAAAGCTTAAGTTTAAAATTTGGTGTTTTTCTGTGCATCGGTTCATGAGTTATGCGACACACAGACACACACACACAGACATCTTCGCGAAAATAGTCAAAACGGATTCAGGGGACCTCAAAACGTAAAAATCCGTCGAAAACTCGAGGTCGAAAAAAATCATGATTCCGATACTTTCCTTATATCTGTATACAGATAGGAAAGTAAAAATTGCTGTTTGAATGGGCCATGTTTTAAAGGGAAACGCATTATAATAGTACACGCTGGAAGCAAAGACGGTTTCGTGCCTAATGCTTTATTATTATCTGCTAAACAAATTAAAAACTGTTCAGCTGATTATCATGAAGATATGACAGCAGAATTATTTGAAAAACGGTTTAATGAACAGCTTTTACCTTACATTCCACCACAGTCAGTAATCGTTATGAACAACGCATCCTACAACTCGCGGCAACTCCTTAAAATACCAAATATTGGCGGCCTTTAAAAATATGTTCGTATTCGTTAATTTACTTCTGTCATTATATAAACAGATTTCTTTAAGATAGTCCTTTAATGTATTTTAAAGATCCGTTTAAATAATGACAGAAGTAAAGAAGAAAATATTTTTAAAGGCCGTGTTAAATATAAAGGAATTGTTACAGAATAGACCCCAGTAGCAGTAAAAAAGCTCAAATTTTAGCTCTTATGTCTGAAAAAAATATTCCTATTCCTGCCAGTGATAGTAAAAAAGGACCAACAAACAAAGAATTGCTTACTGTTATTAAAGGTATAAAGTTAGAAAAAATGTATTATATTGACAAGCTGTGCAAACTCTTCTCAGACTACCTCCTTACTATTGCATATTTAACCCTATAGAGTTAATATTGGCAAACTTAAAATCAGAATTACGAAAATTTAATCAGTCTCCAGAACTGAGTAAAGAAGTTGTAGAACTCGTAAAGAAAGTTCTAGTAGCAGACCGCCAAGAGCTTTGGAAAAACTGTGTTGAACATGTTATCAAAGAAGAAGATGAGTATGTAGTATTACCCTCTTTACAACCCATCATAATTCAACCAAATGATGACTCTATTTCAGAAGATTCAGACTGCCATGATTATTTATAAAGATACTTTCGAATTGAATTGTTTTTTTTTCTTTTGTTTTATTTGCAAAGAATTTATTTTCCTTTATGGTTTTTTCTTTGAAATTTCGTTTTCCCGAAAAAGAACGAATGGGGTACAAAAAAGGGTTCAGTTCACGTCTGGTACCCTGTTTAAACCAAACGCCCTTACAGGCAGGTACACTTTACTCGCTTTTTTACGTTTTATAATTTAATATTCAGTTGTAGCAAGTTAACGAGCTATAATGATTTTTTTTTAAGTCCAAGTAAGATTACAATTAAGTGCATCTGTCTAAATAAGGGCGTATAATAACGTCCAATTTATAATTATTCGATTTCCTTTTAACGAATACTTTCTTGCATATGATATACCTATATTAAAAGTATTAATAAAATAAATTTATAAAATGAGGTAGGTATCTACGCCTATGGCAGATCAAACAAAATTGTCGGTAAAGGTTTCGAACGAGTTTTTATGATCTGCAATTGATAATGGAAGAACTATACCTCGTTGGCACGCCCCAAGAATGATTGAATCTTCTATAACTAATTAGGTCCAAAATATTTCTTATTAAAATATCAACAAAATATCAAAACGTTATTGAAATCTGCCAAATAGTTATTTATATAACAATAAAAAACGACGAGTTGTCGACATGGGCGTCGTTACACAATTCTATAGGGGGGGGGGAAAAAATTTTGAAAAAATTTAGAATGTTTATTAGTTGAAAAACAGAGAAATTGAAAACTAAAAGAGCAATACAAATTAACGAAAGTTTTTAATAAATAAAATAACCCAACAAAAAGACAAAAACTAAAATAAAAAAAAAACAAGAAACTTAAAACACATATTTCTAAAAAACAAATAGAAGGTGTGAGATAAAAGAAAAATATGAACAAGGACACAGAGCCATACATAATATATAAAAAAAAAAATATTTATAGAAACACAAAAACAAAAAAAAACTCACTCAAACACGTCGACGCTAGTGTTCGTTAATTTTTAATTTCTTCTTCCTCTACCTAAAATAATTGATAACAGAAAACATTTCTTTTTAGTTTTTTGCTATTATTTTTGGATGTACGTTCATCATGCAAAGCGCAGTCAGCCTATTTTCAATCATTATTCGCTCTGTGCGTGACAGCAGCGCCAACTAATTTATGAACTAACGGACGATATTTGCGTATACTGACAATACAACTTTTAATGGAATTAAAAGATACATATGTTGATTTTAATAAAAGTATATAGATTTGTAAAACAAGTGAAAAAATTAATTATTATATATTTTTATTAGGTACTTCAGCTAAAATAAAAGTAGTATAATCAATAATAAAACATAGACACGCTACGGTGGTGTAAGTGTCTACGGCGCAGCATTCATTTGTCAGCCAATTTTCTGGTAAAACGAGACACGGTTTCAGATCATACGGAAGATCATGTGAATTTTTTTGAAGGGTTCTCTATAGGATTTTATGGATGGCATATTAGCAGAAATTTTATTTCTGTTGATATGACATCCAGATTATTAAAATAAAATCACCATGCATTACCGTTTTCGATGATGGTAGGTGGGGTTTTCCGGCTTTTCCTCACCTGTAAGTCAAATGTCACCATGAATTATCTTTAAGTCGTCCCGGAGCGCCACAGCAAATAATAATAATAGCCGTCCCTTACCCCGCACAAGCTCAGCTTTTAAAGTTAAAATTAACTCATAAGGGGGTGAATTAGGGAGAGAATTATTATTATAAGGTTAAATATTTACGAGAAAATGTATATTTTGCCTAAGCCTAATAAGTTAACATTGTAGAAAAGGTTAAATAATGTGAAAACAAAAACATTACCATTATATAATATCGTAGTCTCAAAACGTATTAACAAAAATAATTGGTAAATTTGCGATTGTAATTCATATTTTCTTTATTTTTAGTTCGAAAGAACCCATAGAAATTATTGAATAAAATTGGTTTCCTATCAATAAGTCACAAGATTGCATTTCAGCCACATACAATAATCAAAGGCAGAAATCTAATCCTTGCTCAACATTTAAGAGTTAAGGGATGTTAAACAACATTGTAAAATAATAATTTATTGTTTATTTAAAACCTTTCAATTTTCTGATGTCTACTATTTCCAGTATTACTGTTATTATTACAAAAATAAAGGTTTTTTCTTCTTATTGTACAGCTATCCATTTATTTCTTTGATTTAATTTTCATTTTGCTACAAAAAATTTATATAATTTACACTATTTTTCTGCTAGTATTTTTACAATTTACAACACAACAACTGTTATTGCTTTATCGCCTTGGACAAATTTAGCTTGTGTTTGATTTTGTAGGTTTTATTGTGTTTTTTCGTGGTTTTTAGTAGCATTGCTGCATTTAGTTATTGTGAAGTCAATTAGTGTCAAAGTCATAATAAATACATCTTTTAATTTTCTTCTCTTATTTACAAAGAATATTTTATTTCTGTGCTAATTTCACGTAATAATACGTCAATGCGCGTGCGCCCATACTTAATTTAGTACTAAAAAAATTGGTATCGTTGCAAAAGGAAAAAAATATTTTTAGTTCTAAATTTAGTACTAAATTAATAACTTGATTTAGGGCTAAATTTTAGTACTTAATTTAGTATTGTGACATACAGCCATTAAGCGTTGTATAGTCGTAAAAGTCAGGGGGGGCAACTGCCCCCCTTGCCCTCCCCCCCCCCCCAGACGACGCCCATGGTTGTCGAACATATTAAGTTAATAGGAAGTTTTTCATGTTTTGACTCAAAATTAGAGAGGTTTTATTTTCTTTATATTCTTACCTTAATTGATAAAAATAAAGTCAAAGGGAAAAACAAGTTCATTCACATACGATATAACCGGTCAAAGTGAAATGTAAAAGTGAATCAAGTAGGTATATGCGATCGAAGTGACGTCAATATATTGCTCTCTAAAATTACTTTTGCGGTAAGTGCCATGTCTAAAAACAAAAATAATTTGAACACATAAAAGGAAAAGGAAAGTATTATTATAGAATTAGATTGAAAAATCTTAAAACATCATGCAAAATGTTTTGCTTTAAGAAAACTTAATATCTACATAAACCGGCTTTACCTGGTTCATGACTATCAAATTCCTGTCCTTTTTTGTAACAGTTTATCGGTAAATTTTACTATATTATTAGAGGTAAAAATAAAGATAATTAGTTGGCTTAAATTGAAGATCTTTAAAATAGAAGAAAGTTTAACGTCAATTTCATAATGTTTATAATAATTATTATTTATTATTAATGGAAAGTGTACTGTCAGTGACCTGGCAAACTCGCGGATCTTAATGCAGTATTTACTTTCTGTCAAGTAGGTGACAAATGCCAAAGCGCAAAATTCCAATCCTAGTCTCCTAGAGTTCCAAGCATGTCGATCGTAATCTTTAGTTAACATTATAAATTGATAATACAAGTTCAAATAATATTGTTTTTTACTTATTTCCTTGCCTCCATAACCAAACAGAGAAATCTAACAAAATAAACTTACAGGAAAACAGATCAATATCAAGTACATTTATATAACATTCAATAAAAAAAGTAGAACCAATTATTGAACCCGTATTAATAAGTATATATAAATCAAGGAAATGATTTTATCAGAAATGGAACAAAAAATTATTATAGTAATAAAATTAGAAACAAAATTAATATGTTTCCATGGTTTTTAGTATAATAAACCTTTTCTCTTGACAGATAAGTCAGTCTTTATTTATTCATAGTATGTATTTTAATTATTGGTATCGAAATTTTGTATTAGTATATATTACATCGTTACCTTAACATGTAAATCTTTTAACTACACACGTAATAATTTTACAGGAGAAGCAAAAAACCTTTTCCTGTAGATAGCAGTAATGCATTTTGAAAAACATTCAATTATAAATATTTTTTGTTTCCATTTTGTAGTTACATGAAATACAGGCTTAAATTTTGTGGAGTTAGATGTTTGAACATTTTTATTTATATTCACGTAGGTACTAAATTAACATCCTGTATATGAAATAAATTCTATTTAATTAAAATGTTTAGTTCCATATGCTAGTACTTTATTTCATTTCAAGTTCTATGTATATCGTAATAACAAAAATACTAAATTGTTGTTTTAAAATCATTTCAAAACATTGAACTGGGATCGAAATTCGAATAATAATATTATTCTAACGTACATTTAAATAATTAAATAATATTAATTGCTATTGTTTATTTTATGATATCTTAAATGTAGATGCAAATAAGAAATAAAAAGATTTACTAACAACATATGGTAGTATACTTTACAAAATTATCTCTGAAATGAGATTCATGAAAACCATCTTGTGGTATTAATTACAAAATTCACCTTTGAAATCTAAAAAAAAGTTATGAGTTTTATAATTGAATTGATATATTTTTTGTGAATTGTCTATACCGAATGTTCAAATTAAAGTGTTACAGTTAAATACAGCCGAAAATATGCATTTTAGAAAAAAAAGTTTCAGACAAAAGTTTTATAGTTTTTTGGGGGAAACATTTTGGCTAAATTCATTTTTTTATAGCTGACCATAATATGGTAAACTTTGTTTTTTTAAATGGAAATCCCATTTTTTTCTTACATATTCTTAAAGTACATAAAAAAAATAAGAAACTTTTGAGGGAAATATTTTTTTTATTGGACTTTTACTTTTTGAGTAACAGCTACTTGAAAATGTTGCTGCGCGAAAAAAAAGTTGGCCATATTATGGTTAGCTATAAAAAACGATTTTAGCCAAAAGTTTTTCCCTACAAAACTATAAAACTTTCGTCTGAAACGTTTTTTTTTTTTTATAAAAACCTGTATATAGCTGTAACGCTTTAATTTAGAACACCCGGTATATGAAGAATTAAACTCGTTTTCTTACCATTCCAGAGAAAGAGTTTTTTCCACATATTCAAAGTTTTATATGGTTTTTTTGATATGTACGATAAATATTAAGAACATATTTTTGACCATTTAAAATATTTAAATTATACAGTGTGAAAAGTCCATTATAACTGGTCCTGTTAGAGATAAAAAAAAAGCATTTATAGAACGATAGACAGTATTAATTTCTATATTTTAAAATTTGTTTCGAAATATACAGGGTCTTAAATCACTTTAGTCTGGAACAAAATTATCTTTTTTAAATGGATCACCCAGTATTTAGTATTATATTTGAATTACCCTTGCTTTCCCCATTATTATCATATCAAATAGTACGGTATTATACAAGGTATTTCATACGCTAGATTCAGTTTTATATAAAAATCGTATTGATTTAAATTGCACTAGAAGTACAGTATAGAATAAGCGATGCTATTTATTAAACAGAGGTAGAACAGTCCTCGCCAGTCCACTAGTGGCAGAGGTGTAACCAAGCAAAGGATCCATGTGTTAACGGATTGTATGTACCACAATGAAATTTCCAAATTTCCTTTTTTACTTTCCTATCTGTATACAGATATAAGGAAAGTATAGGAATCATGATTTTTTTCGACCTCGAGTTTTCGACGGATTTTTACGTTTTGAGGTCCCCTGAATCCGTTTTTACTATTTTCGCGATGATGTGTGTGTGTGTGTGTGTGTGTGTGTGTGTGTGTGTGTGTGTGTGTGTGTGTGTGTGTGTGTGTGTGTGTGTGTGTGTGTGTGTATGTGTGTGTGTGTGTGTGTGTGTGTGTGTGTATGTGTGTGTGTGTGTGTGTGTGTGTGTGTGTGTGTGTGTGTGTCTGTCTGTGTGTGTGTGTGTGTGTGTGTGTGTGTGTGTGTCTGTCTGTCTGTGTCTGTCTGTGTGTGTGTGTGTCTGTCTGTGTGTGTCTGTGTGTGTGTGTGTGTGTCTGTCTGTGTGTGTGTGTCTGTGTGTGTGTGTCTGTGTGTGTGTGTCTGTGTGTGTGTCTGTGTGTGTGTGTGTGTGTGTGTGTGTGTGTGTGTGTGTGTGTGTGTGTCTGTGTGTGTGTGTGTCTGTGTGTGTGTGTGTGTGTCTGTGTGTGTGTGTGTGTGTGTGTGTGTGTGTGTGTGTGTGTGTGTGTGTGTGTGTGTGTGTGTGTCTGTGTGTGTGTGTGTGTGTGTGTGTGTGTGTGTGTGTGTGTCTGTGTGTGTGTGTGTGTGTCTGTGTGTGTGTGTCTGTGTGTGTGTGTCTGTGTCTGTGTGTGTCTGTGTGTGTCTGTGTGTGTCTGTGTGTGTCTGTGTGTGTCTGTGTGTGTCTGTGTGTGTCTGTGTGTGTCTGTGTGTGTCTGTGTATGTCTGTGTGTGTCTGTGTCTGTGTGTGTGTGTCTGTGTGTGTGTCTGTGTGTCGCATAACTCATGAACTGATACACAGAAAAACACCAAATTTTAAATTTAAGCTTTGTTTCAGCGTCCAATGAGCTGATTAGATTTTGGGCAGTGTCGGAACATCTGGGGGGGTACTTTATAGATGGTCATTTTTATATTTTATTGAATATATCTGTTATTTACGTTTGGGGAAGAAAATTCTTTAAATAAAAGTTACTTCTTATATTATTATCTATAATTTTTGTTCTATACAAAATTTTCCTAAAATGGTCCGTATTCGAGAAATTTGACAAAATGTAAAAAAAGATTTTTTTATAAAAATTGTTTAAACAAAAGTTGTTTGCAATATAATTCTCTATAATTTTTATCCTATACATAATTTCTCTAAAATGGACCGTAATAAACATTAAATTTTAAACTTAAGTTTTATTTCGGCCTGACGTGAAATGATTAGATTTTGGACAAAGTCGGAACATCTGGGGGGGTACTTTATGGGGGGCCGTTTTTATATTTTATGTTATTTATGTTTGGAGAAAAAAATTGTTCAAATAAAAGTTATTTCTAATATTATTATCTACAATTTTTGCTTTGTCAAAATTTCCTGAAATGGTCCGTATTCGAGAAATTTGACAAAATGTGCAAAATTTTGATTTTTATGAAAATTGTTGAAATAAAAGATGTTTGCGATATCGATCTCTATAAATTTTGTTTATACCTGATTTTTCTAAAATGAACCGTAATGGAAAAGTGCTAAATTTAAATTTTTTCAGTATTTTCGTTTTCAATGAATATCTATAGAAAAATGTTTCGAAGTAGATGTATGTGGATAATGTATATATTTAGTTTATCCTCTAAACATTTATAGAAATTCTGCAATAGGTTGTACAAAATAACCGGAAAAAGCCTATAATAACTAGATAGGAAAGTCATGTGTTGGACACATCAGATTTTTATTCCTAGCAGCGCCGACTGGACTAAAGTTTTAGGTGCCAAATTTAAAAATAATTATTAAATTTATACGTTTTTATTGACTTTTTACGATTATTCAGTATTTAGAATAAATCTTAGGTAGTGTGTAAAGCAATAAAAGGTTATAATAACAAGAAACAGATTTAGAGATAATTTATTGTGAAATAAGAGTATTATTATTATTAAAAAAAATAAAAATGTAAGTTTAAAAATTTTGTAAAAATTTTTCTAGTATAACAATGACATAGAGATCGCATAGAACAATTTTGAAAAAATCTGATGAAAGATAACTTTTTTACTTACTTGAATTTTTGAACAGAAAATTTTTTTCTTCAAAAACGGTCTACCAGATTTTTTTCAAAATTTGCACATTAATTACTTATTTGATGAGTATGTTAGGTGAATTTTTTTAAAAATTTTTTTACCTAAGATTTATTTTTTGGTCGGGTGAGATAAAAAAACCTTTGAGTAATCCATACATTTGTAGTACTAACTTTAAATTAAAAAAAAATCTGAAGTAAATAGTAGATTGGCACGGCAGTTTAGAACGCCCTGTACATGTAATGCAACAAAAAAGCTGGTATTCGTTTGTATCACCCACAAGAACTT